TAGTATAAGGAAACAAAACAGAAGAAAACTCTTACTACTTCTTAATATTTTTTCATTACTCTATGTTGCCTGTAATAAAACATACATACTGGGCATGATGGCACACACTTGCAATCCCAGCCCTCAGGAGGGAAGCAGCACTAGGCAAGTGGGAGGCCGCCCTGCTACAAGGTAAGTTCAAGGCCAACTGCGGGGCAAGCCTCCCCCTCCCCCTCTCCCTCTCAAAGAAAAGGTCTGTGGAGTATCTTCATGGTTAATTTGACTGGTGTGAGAAATGTTTAGGAGCGCAGTAAGGCACACATGGGGTGTATCCGTGAAGATGCGCTGGGAGACAACAGGCAGATGACACAGCAAACCAAGGGGATAGGCCCGCCTGACACGTGGGCAATGCCAGCACCAGCTCTCTGCCTCCTCCCTCATGCGTGGCCACCACTTCTCCACCATGACTTTCTGCCTCACTATGGGCCTAGAAACAACAGAACGAGCCAACCAGGGCCTAAAACTTGTGAAACCATGAGACAAGAGAGACCTTTCCTCCTCTAAGTTGTGCTTCTGAGGTATTCTGCCTCAATGGCAGAGAGCTGACTAGCAGTCACCACAGATGTTATACGTATGGCTAGCGAGCACAAGGAGAGATGCTGCACCTCGTTAATTAGCAAAGTGCCAAAACTATAGTGAGGCAACAAGTCGCATCCACCTAGAAGGCTATTAAAAAATAAATGGCCAGGAGAAACAGCTTATTTACCTCAAAGTTCTAAAAAGACAAATCTACAGACACACAAGAGATGTATTTTCAAATTAAGACTGTGGTAATGTTTCTGTAACTCCACCAATTTACTAAAAAGCACAGAACTGCATACTTTAAAACTTTATCACGCGTGAATAAACTAAAGTGTGAGAAGGACTGGGGGCACTTGCCTCACACACCCAAGACCTGGTCTTTGATCCCTGTACTCCCAATGGAGTGGGTGGACTGTGAGCAAGCACACATACGCACAATGGCAAGAGAAGAGAATGAGTACTGGGGTCAAAGGCAACACAGGTCAGCAGGAAGGATCATCTAACATCTTGTGGTAAAGAGCGACAATACAGACAGCTGTAGACTCCACCTACTTGTCAACTATGTCGCCTTCAAAGAGACACGGCAGTACCAATGCAGTACCTAGAAGTCTCTTCACAGAAACTCCTAGGAATAAGGAAGTTAGGCAGTGACTACAGAGCTCAATGGTACATGAATCTGTGTTACGGATTTTGTAAAAAACCTGTAACTTTTATATAAGCTATACAAGAAAAGGGACGAACTGCAACACAAACAGGAACACCCCTACTTAAGACAGATTTTATTAGAATAACTTGCAGTCATGATTCTGACATTTCATTCAGTTCTGGGAAGCAAATAATGCAAGATGCACGAAGCCTCTTTCCTTCCACCCTATTTCCATTAGCAGTCAGCACCGAAAGGAGAATCGATGAAGGACTAGGTCCTTCGTGAAAATCCTTAATTCTCAGGAGACACTTGACAAGTGAGCAAAACACAAACTTATCTTCAATTTGAAACTCCAGATGTCTCCCCGAGAGACTGTAAGAGTTGCAATCACCTATTCTCCATGTCTGGGATAAAAGGATAAAATGAAATTTATGGCTAACTGCTTCAGGCATATTTTAACGATAGGAAACTTCCTGAAGGAAAGCCTAACTGACCCTCACTGAACAAGAGCTGACTACAGCACATCATCTTCATCCATGCTTCTGTGTGATGTGTGGAACTCCTCCCCAAAGCACCACCTGGATTTGTGTCAGGGAACCAGCAAAACCCTACCTCCCTGCCCAGCCTAGAGAGCCCCAAGGCATACCACGAGGGCACCCTCAGTGAGACCCGCTACCTCATCTTGGGCCTTGGAAAGGGGACTCCATGGAGCCCTGGTGCCACAGCGTCTTGAGGGGTGAATGTCTGTGAATAAGGTCACTGTACAGCAGTCCAGCCGGCTGGGACCCGCTGTGCCAGAACACCACAGGGCGTACGGAGCATCCTTCTCTCCCACTAGTTCTAGAGGACTTTCATCGATGTGTGCCCTACTCTCTTCACTCAAAACACAAGTGAAAATGTAAAATGAAGGAATGGACAAGCAGATTCCTCAGAAGCTTGGGGAATTCCAGATTAGCTACAAAATCAGTTTTATAGGCTAAGCTTTGCCTGCCCTTCTGAAAAGTGCTTTTATTTTTCTGACCAAAGAAGAAGCTCTCATTAAAAGGCAAACAGTTCCCCGTGGGTCTGAAGCACACAGGTCACACACAGCCTGGCACAGGACCCTGGAGCCACGCTCAGCTAGGAACGCAAGCCTGGCTTCCTAAAGCCCTGCATCGCAGACAGTGCATCAGGGACTGTCTTCCTACAAGAGTCTGCCTCCCCACACACGACCTCTGGTTATGGACCAAAAGACAGTCGGCTGTACAATGAGGGGGGAGTGCATATGGCCACAGGAATCTACGCTGTCTAGGGGACCGTGACCAGGCCCAGAGACCAAGGCAGCAACCTTACCACTAGCCCGGCCACTGACCATTAGGATGTGCCCCCTTCACCCCCTGGGAAGAGCAGGTCCTCTCAGCAGCAGGCAGGTCCTGGAGAAGCAGGGGACAGGATAAACAGGTCCTCAAGACGTGGCCTGCACTCCAGCTGCCAGTAGCCAACGGTGGTCAAGGGCAAAGCTCAAGGCCAGGAGCTGCTTCTGATTCGAGGCTGTGGGTGAGGCACGGGGGACTGAACTGCGGGGAACTCTGCTGCTGTCCTGCAGCCTGCCTTCCGCTGTTTCTACATGTTGAACCAGATCTCCTGAAGGTGCCCTCACAGGACTCAAGATGTGCAGCACTCCTCCCTCCAAGCCCTCTGCTGAGAAGACAGCTATGTGCCCTGGCCCAGTGGCACCTCCGCTGTTGAACGCAGCAACTCTCCCTACTCAAGCCACTCCTTCAACGTGTTGGTAGTTTCAAACCCTAGGAATTCTTTTTAAAAACGTGCTTGGCACAGGGTCTCGCCACGCAGCCTGGACTTGTGGGGATCCTCCTGCTCTCAGCCTCCCCAGTGCTGGGATTAAACATGTGCGCTACCATGCCCAGACTTGGTGGCTGGCTCAGCGCGCCTGGGAGCGGGCCAGTGGGGCCTGTGTGCGAGGGATCAAACCCTGGTCCCTGTGCTTGCCTAAGCAGGCACTTAGTCCACTGAGCTATCTTGCTGGCCCTAGGAATCCCCTTTTCAACAAGCTCTGGGGCCAGATGTGATAGAAATCTGATTGCAACTCACTGAAAAATTTCCATCTCAGTGTGGCAAAAACATCAAATTTAAATGTAAGACTCTAAACTTTTCAGTAAAAAATTAGTAATTTGCTAGTATTTTTGGGTGGGCATTACGTATTAGGAATCAACCTATTTATAGAATAAGAGCCCCTGCCCCCACCCTTTTTTAAAATGAAACAAGATAGGTTTCATGACTAAAGGAGTCAGAAGCTGAGCCTGTATGTAGGAAAAGTTTCAGCCCTGATTAATGACCTTAAAAGTGACAAGCTGTGACCACATAATTTACTGTCCACACAAGGAGATACAGTCGCCCTACTGAAGGGTATGTCATTATCCATTTAAAAGCTGTTCAGTGCTTGTTCCTTTTTTTTTTTGGTACCAGGACTCAAACTTGGGACCCTGCACTTGCCAGCCAGGCACGGTGCTGCTGAATTGTACCTCCAGCTCAAAAGCCCTTAACAGGTGCCCACCGCTTGTGAAGGTGACCGCAGTCTTGTCCTGTAACTTGGGTGTGTGCTGCACCTCCTGCTCCTGTCCCATCAGGCGGGGGTCCCTCCCCTAGAGGCAGGGTCTCTCCCACCTTCAGCTCCTCAGTAATGCCGGTCTCACAGAAGCCCCAGGGAATGCAGCGGTGGGGCCACGCTGCTCAGCTGACCTCACCGCTCCTCATCCTCCCCTTAAGCTAAGGTCTGATGTCAGAGGAGGCAAACCTAGGGCGCACACACCCAGTGGGCTATGTCTTTAAAGCTCCAAAAGGTTCCCTGTCACTGTCTTTTCTTATCCAAAAGATTGTCCTTCATGCATGTTTTCCCCACCTACATTCCTCATTTGCCAGCTGCCACCTCCTGGCTACGGGCCTTTAGGTTATTTAGCCTTCCTGTGCTCACGCTAGCTGCCCATGTAATGCACTGCACTAACAGAGTGACCGAATGAGTCAGCCCACATACTACGAGTCACGTAACGCGAACACTCCGTGAGCTCCTCAAGGGCGGAAAGCCTTCTCCCTTTGATCATTCCTACGCTCAGCCCACCGACAAGGCCTAGCAGGGCACACACGGTCACTTATGCCTAAACCCCCTTCCATCCCCCACAGTGGGGTCTGAACACAAGGCCCTTGCCCTGAGCGCTATCGCCAGGTGCCCCTTCTATTCTTTGACACAGTCTTGATAAATTTACCAGGCTGGGCTTGAACTTACGATCTTCCCACATTACCTTTCTGGAGTGCTGGGTAAGCGGCACGCACCACCAGGCCAAGCTAGCGCCCTGCAGTCCTACTAAGCATAAGTCTGCTGTGTTTGCCTCCAGTCTCCTGCCTGGCCCTGCCAGCGCCACACCCCCATTTCCCACATAAAGCCTTTCTTTTGGAAAGGTGCAATTCTCCTTCCACTTAAAATGAGACAAACGTGTGTGTCAACAGAAGCGTACTTCACCTGGAACATTGAACACGCCAGCCCCTGCCTACCACCGGCTCAGCTGTAAGTGCAGGCGGCGACTGAGAACTGGAGGGCAGCTCAGGAGCGACTGTAAGTCTGCAACTGCGAGACGTCCATAGATGTAAAGATTATTCCTATTTTCTGCTCCCACGTTTAAGAGAAAAACTTCTATGTATACATTCCAAACATCATACAAAGTTACAAACCCTGTAAATCACAAAGAGTAATACAAACTCACCTTACTTTAAAAATAGAATTTTACAAAAATAAAATTACCTAAAATTAAGCCCACCATTGTACTTAAATATCCGGTTCCACTTCCCAGGTTAAGAAAAGACAATCCCGGCTGCAGTTTGAGCGCTTCCATGACTTCAGAGTAAATGCAAGGGGCCGAGAGGTGTATGTTCCCGTGCTTCCAGGCCAGGTCTTTGTAGGCGTTGTCTCTGTAGCCCTCCAGGTAGTAGTCACCGCGGTCGATGGCGCGGAAGGCCTGCTCCACCCTCTCCGTGCGGATGTACTGCGCCTCCTTGAGGTTATCGATCAGGTCGTCGTTGTCCTCCCCAGCGCTGACAGCTCCTCCCATGATCACATTCAAATCAAATCATAAATTTAAAAATGTAATAAAATCAGTAGAAACGACTTCCAATAATGTACTGTGATTTATTTTCTTTCTAATATTGCACTTAGTTTCCAAAAATAAATTAACCCTGAAAGAAAATAAAAAGAAACAAGTTTAAATTAATCCTCAAGAGAAAAACTCCAGTTTATTAAATATGTGTCATATAGCCGCCATTTCTTGATGTAAGCATACTTTTTTTTAATTCTTAAAACACCCTGAAACTACGAATGATCTCATCTATACAGTGGGAAAACTAGAACACAGAGCAGGTAAAATAGCTAAATCTCAGTTAATTGCTGTTAAATGTAATCCAGAATTCGGTCATCAACTCAGCCACATTCTAAGTGCAGAAGGAGCTGTGCAGGGTGGGACTTGGCCCAGGCTCTCAGACTCCGAGCTCACAGTTACCATGCCGCATGGCTTCTTCGGAGTGGGGCAAGCCTACTTTAACAAGCATTTAGTTGATCATTAAAAAGTTAACAATTCCAAAATACATTACATAATTTAAAATATGAACAGAATATACTACCTAAACAATGCATGTAAAGTCCAAAATAACAGACACTCGGTGCTACACACACACACATACACACACACGGTTATGACTGCTTTGTCTGATAAACACTGTCTCAATAAACAATGAGCTCACAACCTTTATTAATAACTTTAATAGTGCAAGCACTAGAGCAAATGTTACGAATACATTTGCATACACAAACTTCCTTAACAGATAAAACTCAGCATCTCTCAAAGGAAATTAAAGAATTTCAATACATAATATTAAACGTACAACTGAAGCTCTAGGTAAAGTTAGTGAATAAATTTAAGTATCAAATTCTAAATCAACAAATCAGGAGATCTGGAAAGAGAGGTGAAACGCCCAAGGCCCAAAGCAAGTCCTGAGGCCACGCCCGCAAGACCGCACCACCACCGCTCTGGGATACAGTGAGGAAAGCAGGGCGTCCAAGTGCACGCACTCGACACGGCGGGTGGCCACCGAGGTGAGCAGAGAGCGCGGCAGGCCCACAGAGCTCTGCCAGTCCTTGGCTCCTCCTTCACAGCTCTTCAGAACTACTGAGGTAAAGCAAGCACTACCAACTATCACACTTCACTCACAGTGAATTCATTCAAGCTCAGTGACAAAAGCTGAATGATTCTGCTTCTCACCTCCAGACTCAAAAAGAAAACAACTTTAAAGTATTCAAGTGCCACAAGAAGCGCACGCTCTTACAGCCCTTCTCTGCGGAGAGTTTCTCACACAGCTCAGTGTCACGCTGAGAAGACGCTACTCTGCTGGTCCTTCAGGCCTTGGATTCGGCAGCCTTCTGCAGCTAAGCACCTAGACCTGCTTGATGAGAGCCATCCTAGCATTCCACGATGGCTTTAAGGACACAGCTTCAGCACAAGTCAATGTTTTCATCTAGCACTCCGCCCAAGATGAAAGCGAAACTGTCCTTGAAACACCAGCCTCAGCTCGGAGGTCCCCAAACAAGTCCACAAGTGTGACTCTGATCACAGACACAGTAGATGGCTCTACTGCGAATCACACGACTTCGCATCTGCAAAGATCATTCTCCTTTGTGCATATTCCAGGACTTAAAATCCCAGCCCTGCAGCTTCTCCTGAACTTCCCTATCAGCCCATCCTGCTCAGAATCACAGCAAAACAAGTTGTCTTTTACACAGAGCTCGCATTCTTGGGGCAAAAGAGGAAAGGAATGATGAAATAAGCAAGATCACCATCTACTGACTGTTCTAAACATGTTATTTCATTAAAAACATACAAGAGCCCCGTGAGAGAGGCATTCGCGTGCCTACACGCAGGTGAGCAGCCAGGTGTAAAGAAGATGCCAGAAGGAGCCCAGAGGAGCAAAGTGCGGCCTGAGCTCAGGGATGGAAGTCAGTTTCCTCAAAAGCAAGGAGTGCAGGCCAGCTGTGGCGGGGCACGGCTGCTGCAAAGCGCCCTGGGGGGTGAGGGCACAAAGGCCACAAGCTGGCGCCCACCCTGGGCAACGCAGTGCCTCAGTGAAACCTTGTCCCAGAGGAAAAAGCAAAAGGCTGTGGCTCAGCATGACCTGGATTCGATCCCCAGTAACCCCTTAAAAAAAAAAATCACATAATAAGATGCAGTAAGATGTGAACTAGCTGTACCCGACTCCTCTCATGGGCAAGTGAGAAACAGGTAAACAGGGCTGAGCAGAAGGCTGCAAGGCTCCCAAGGAAGGAAGCAGTGAGGAATAGCTTCATGGAAGTACTACAGCTCCCCTTATCCATGGTTTCAAATCCAAGGTCCAGTTACCCAGGGAAAATTCCAGAAATAAACAATTCCTCAGTTTTAAAATTGAAATCCGTTCTCAACAGCACGCTCCATCCTAGCAACAGCATCACCCAGAACGTGGCTCACGCCTCGCCAGCACAGCTCCTGCACAAGCGCTGCCTCTCGTCAGGCCCTCGGCGCCTCTGGGCATGAGACCTGTGCTCTGGCCCGTCTGCCCCGCTGCTGCACGAGAATGTCACTGATCTCACTTCACGTCAGCACTTGAACGGCAAAAACACAGCCTCAGGAGAAGGGAAGCACAGTGCAGGAGAACTTCAAAGAAACAGAAACCACAACTTTACAATACAGAATTAGTCTCATGTATCACTGTTAATCTCCTATGCCTAATTTATAACTTAAAGTTTACTAGAGGTACGTCATGGTTATACCTGGATGACCCTGTCTCCTGTACTCACAGCAGAATGCTCCACTGGAGGCGAAGGCTGGCCACAGGAGGTAAGTCATCTGACCCCAAAGGCCCAGCCTCCCTTCCTCCCTTCCTCCCTTCCTCCGCCCTCCATCTCTCTCTGCTTCCTGCCTGTCAGACCCTGAGTGATTCTCCCCTGCCGCCACTCTCTGCCATGGGGTTACTTTGTGAGCAAAATAAAACCTTTCTCCTTCACCCTGTGGATGCCAGGTCGGCGCCTCTGCAATGAGGAGGCAAGGTCCACATGCACGTATGGATGTGCATTTATAAGAAAAACAGGCCAGCAGGAGGCACTCGTCTGTAATCCCAGTTCTCAGACGGCTGAGGGAGGTGGATCTCTGCAAGTTCAAGGCCAGCCTGAATTGCATAGTGAGACCCTGTCTCAAAAGGATTTTTAAAAAGGTGCATATGGTTTATATAGAGTCTCAGTAGCAAGACAGACAGTTGTGTACATATATACGTATACAGGTACATAAGAAAAGACAGTACAAATAGTATAAGAAAATATAATATTCTCATCAACAATCCTTGGGACCAGGAGCTTCAGATTTGCAGTTTTTCAGGTTTTGGAATGTTTGCCTATAGATAATAAAGCATCTTGGGGATGGGACACAAGTCTGAACATGAAGTTCGTTTATGCCCCATACATACCCTAGACAGACAGCCTGCGGTAAGTACACAACATGTTTAGTGCGCCGGTCTTTTGCCTATGACCCATCCATCCATTCCACGACTGGAGGCACTGACTTTTCCACTTGCAGTTTTATGCCAACACTCAAGTGCTTCGGGCTTTGAAGTACTTCGAATTTCAGATTCTCAGTTTAGAGACACTCATCCACGAACAGCTCAGTGCAGCCCAGTTTCAGGCATCCCCTATCCCAGAATAAGAAGAGCCTCACGCACAATCTACTAAAACGCTCATCCACGCAGCGCCTAGGTGGGATGGTGCTGAGGAGGCGTGGCCCACACTACACGTCCCTGCTAGAGTGACCAGGAAGGGGCACACTTCGCCACACTGAAGAGA